TTGAGATGCAAGCTTGGCTAGAATCTGTATCTCTGGGCTGTGGTGACAGAAGCCTGGTAAAGTAGGACCATTCAAATTCTGGTGGGAGCTTGTACAAGATACAAAGGCACACCCAAACAGAAATGTGGGGGTGAAACCCCAACTCCTGGCCTAGCTCCTGGCAGCATTCTGGCAGACACAAAGCAACTAATGGATATAGGTTTCCATACAGCAGGGAACCTTCAGAGCCCAGGGGACTCAGCTGCCTCCCTGTCCTCAGAACAGGCACCATGCCATCTGTTCTCTCAAGCCCTGCTATTCCCCAAGGGCAGTGTCACCAGCTTCTGCAGTAGGGCAGAGTCACCTGAGCTCAGGGGCACACATGTGGAACAGGAAAGCAGCTCTGACCCTACCCTCTGCCTGGTTGGAAAAGGGGTGCTCATCCCCTCCAGACCCCACTGTACGAACATCTTGACAATCTTCCTTGCACACCACCGTGCGGATGCGTGTTACACACGTGCTACTGATCATCCGACGGGTCACGTGCTGCAGGCTACACCACTCAGCACCGAGCAGGGGTGCCGGGTACCAGCCAGGGAGGCGGGAGAAGCTCTGTCCTGCCCCTCGTCAGCAATCCTAGCACCCAGATCTCACTCAAACCCTCTGTACCACATGGCATCTCCAGCCAGTGTGAGCTCAGGCCGCGCGCGCGCATGCTGTTGCTGGCTCCCCGGGCATCCACCCGCCGTGGTGAAGCAGGAGAGGAAGGAGATGCCTGCGACCCGACAATTAACGCTGTGGTTGTTTATTGCGGCGGAGCTCTGCCAGCCAACGACAGCCGCCACCGCATCTCCGGCTGCCGGCTCCCCCCGAGTGTTTATTTAAGCCAACACATTGCTCCGCTAATTGGATAACATTCTATGTGAAAATAGGCCTTTTAAAACAACAGTGTCGGTGGCTAAAACAGCTGCAACCACAAAAGTATAAAGAAGCATGGCTCGGGAGGGAGAATTAAAGGCACCTCGTGTGGGGAACAATTAATATTCTGGTTTCTGGGTGTGTCTGTCTGCTCCTCCCTCCGTGTTCCTGGTGGCCCTTTCCCCCTTCCTCCAGAGCCAGCCTGGGCTAGGTAGGGAGAGTAGAGTGAGGCCTGAATGGAAACCCAGTGCCTATTGGAGATTTCCTAGCTAATGAAGGCCAAACCCACTGGCCCAGGACTCCCCACTGCCCATCCAGGTGAGGAGTGGCATGGTGAGCTGGGGTGGGCTGGAAGGAGCTCAGCACTGAAGACGCCAGCTGCTTTTTTTTTTCGGGGGGGGGGTCAGGGGCTTCTCCCAAGAGCTGTCTTTACGAGACCTCTTGGCCTCTGTGTGTCTCTACCCAGGGAGCCCATTTTCCAGGGTAAAGTGCTGCAGCTAGGTAGCAGGAATGTGTGTGAGGGGCGGGCTTAGAGGTAGAGGAGGGTCAGCACTTCAGTAAACCAATGCCTGCTGGGAGAAAGAAGCCTGCCTATACAACACTGAGCCAAGTCTGGTCTTTGAGCCATTTCTTCCTGTTACACAACCTTACACCAACCCAAGGGACACTCAAAATAAGTCAACAGGGTTTATCCATTCAGATACCCCAGAGAAGGTACAGCAGTGGTGACAAGACAGGGGATGGACGGCATGCAGGCAAGGCAGCCCAGGATGACCTCACAGGTAGGCAAGATGTGTGCTAGCCTAACTCCCAGCCACGCTAGTTTCCTAGCTGACAGACACATCCCTCTTATGCAGTGCTAGGCTCCCTGAGAACCGTGAGGCTGGGATAACACGGGCACCGTCAGCAGCACTGATATTTGCTGCCTAGCATACTAGGGGCCACCAAACCTACTAGACAGGGAGAATTCACCTGCTCGTCCATCCAGTTCCCATGGGAAGGCAGGGCTCAGGTCACCAGTGCCTGTGACTGGGCAGGTAGCCCAGTCCCTTCTCCCATTTGCCTGAGCAAGTCAGTGCCAACCAGGGACAGGGTGCTGGGGCTGTGCAGATGGGCGAGGTCAAAAGAGGGAGGTTTTGTGCTAATCTCCAGTAAGCATGGTGCCCTGGGCTGGGACAGGCAATGTGCCCACAGCAGACATGTCACTTGTTTGGTGGTGTGCTCTCAGGAGCCCCTGCCTATCACTGTTGGGAGCCTGGGTTCTTCCATGTGGCCATCATGGAGCCTCCTGCTGGCTTTGCTCCCCAGTGTTGTTATGCACGTGACTGAGAGTCAGAGTCCCTGAGAATGTGTGAGGGACAGGCTGAGGCCTGGAGAGAGAACGGGACTGCTCATTCCAGGATGAGGAGTGAACACTTATTCTGGGCCAGTGGGTCTGTGTGGAAGGCTACACCACGACTCTTACACCATGGGGCCAGGGCAAGAGCCTGATACTAGGAGTTGACGTGGGGTGGGGTGAAGTGGAGGCTGGTTGCTGGCCCCTCCAGACATAAGTCTGGGCCTCTGGCTTCACAGTCTTCCACTGAACAAGCAACCTCCTGCCTCAGCCCCAGTGGCTGTTGTACTATCTTCTATCCCTCTCCTGTCTGAGGATGGGTTGGGGAGGTCTCCGAGTGTACATGGTTGCAGGTGCCCAGTGACCAGCTGCTCCCTCTACATGGAACAGCACAAGAAGGGAGAATGCACTCAAGAGGACCAGAGACTGTCGAGGGACCTGGGCGTTTCTAAAGGGGCCTCTCTTTTCCAAAACATCAAGTGCAGAAAGGAGGCTCAGGAGAATATATTCCAAGAGGTAGGGGTCCGAGGGCCCTTTCCAGCTTGGTTGGGCTCCATTCTTCTTCCACTGCAGGATAACCCCAAGCCCCAAGCCCCAGCTAGAGAATGACTCCATGCTCAGAGTGTGTCCACACTGTGTGTAAGGCACATGATATACGGCAGGTGAAAAGACCTCATACTGCCACTTTGGAGACAACTGGGCTCTGCAGACAGACCCAGGGGAAATGGATGGACGAGCCCCACAGTGGGCAAAAAGGGCATGAGTCCTGGCGGGGAGCGGGGGCAGGGCAGGGCAGGGTACTGCAGCAGGGATAGAGAGGCCGGAAATAGCACCTGGGGAGTGGAGGGCCTGGCCAGTCTCTAAGGCTGTGGGCGGAGCCCTCACTGTCCTCAGCTGCCCTTTCTCTTCCAGGAGCCAAGAATGGAAAGGGATGGAGGGAGAAGCTGTCACCTCCATAAGTCAGTGCTGAGGGGCTGACATGGGTTACGAGGAACATGGCTTCTGGTCTGCGGACTGAGGAGTGTACTGGATGCAGAAGTGGGCCCATGAATGTCCACCCCAGCCTGTTCCTCCAGCAGCCCTGTGAGGCCGGGGAGGCACTGGGAGGGTGAGTCACTTTTCCAAGGTCACACCAAGGGGAAGAAGCCACGCTAGCTTCATAGTGAGCGTAAGTCTGGGGTCAGCCTTGGTGAACAGACCTTTCTCAGGGGCAGAGTTGGGCTCTGCTTCTCCCAGGGCAGTCTGGTCTGGGGGTCTGGACAGGAAACTGTCAGTGGTTGTCCCGCCTGGGAATCCACAGTGCGAATATTGTCTCCCACTGGCCCTCTGCAGACAGGATGCCACAGCCCTGTGCACTGACCTGAGAGCTGAGGGAAGGACGGCTCGCAGGGTCCCTGGGCTATGGCAATGAGGGAATCAGGTTGTGTTGACTCCCTGCCATGTGCCAGGGAGCTGGCTCATAGGACTGTCTGTCACAAAGCAGGAATGGAGACACTACTGTCAACCCATTTCACAGATAAGGAAACCGAGGTACAGGGCACTACTACGAGAGGCTAAGCTGCCTTCAGTGACAGTATTTCTCTTGCTGCCAAGGCCTAGTGTTTGCATTGTGTTGTCTCTTTCGTCACTGAGAGGTGACAACGGAAGGGCTGCCAGCTGAGGAGAGGGGACAAATGTCTAGGCAATGAAGCAGGCACTTCAAGTGGGGGCAGAAGAACGTAGGTGGCTGCCATGCCCTGAGGGCTAGTGCCCTATGCCTGTGGGACGCCCAGGCTGTCTACATAGCCCTAAGCTGTCCCTTCTGCCCCACGATGCTCCCCACCCCTGGTGCCCCTTGCGGTGGAGGAGCCCTAGACACTTGGCAATAATTTTGGACACTGTTTTCCAGGGAAGAAAACAGAAGCAATGGAGGGCCGTGGCCGGCGGGCAGCGCTCAGCAGGGGGACAGGGCGGCCCAGCAGTCCTAACCTGCACAACTTGGACTTTGGAGCTTGATGCTGTGACAGTGGTTTCTAGACTCAGCTGTCGAGGACTCAACACAGGCAGAATGACAGCCTGGCTGTGCTGTCCGGGGCCTGACGTCAGAGCAGTGGCCTTGCTTCAAAGCCCAAGGGGAAGGGGGCAGGGTGTTATGGGAGTATGGCAAGAAGGCTCATTTGGGAGGGGTGCCTGCCTGGTGACCTGGGTTTAATCCCCAGCATCTATGTGTAGGAGAGAATCTCTCCATTTGTACATGCATGTACACACTCACACACACGGACCAAACACACGTACACAATAAGTTAGCAAAAAATAACCGCTCCTGACAAAGGCTGTCCTGTTCTCTGCATAGCTTGAGAAATATCTGCATATGCACTTGTGTGCTGCAGGCATGGCCTCTGGTGTCACCAGCACAGAATGGAACTGACCACTAGTGAAGGGATGAGGAGGGAGCCAGACCGCAGCCCGTGTACTGTTTTCTGGGCATGCGTCCCATTCCTGCCCAGGCTGTTTCAAATAGCACTGTCTAGAAAGCCTAGCCCCGTGGCCACCCAGACTGGAGTCTTCCCTGTTACTGAGCAGTCTGAAACTAGGTCGACCTGAGCCCCTGAACATGTATGACGGACACATGCACACGCCAGCACATACTACCTGGCCTTCCAAACCCTACACCCAGTGCTCTGCCTCCAAGGAGACTGAGTAAATCAGCAGCGTCAGGGAGAGAGCTGAGGCACGAGGCAGCGACACTCCTGTGGCTCAGGGGCTCTGTGCTTCTCTAAGGGCTCACCTTCGCATCCTGCTTGGTGATGAAGTCCACAAAGCCGAAACCCCGGTGAGCACCTGTCCCTGTCATCTTCTTTGGCAGGCGCACTGTCTTCAGTTCCCCGAAGGTGCTAGAGACAAAAGGCAGACATCAAAGATTAAGGACTGAGGGCTTCGAGGGACCCAAGGGTCCTGAAACCTGTAGGTTACCAGAGATTGCTGGTTGCAGGAACACTCACTGCCTGGGCTCGTTCACGTGGCTTCCCACTTCCCCACAGCCAGCCCTCGCTCCTCTGCAGGCGTGGCTTTCTTCTCCCTGCTGGCCACCGCTTGGGGGAGGGAGGGCACCATCAGGCTGGAGGTGCTGATGGGAAATTTTTGGTGTCTCTCCTGCCACCTGGGGGACACCTGGACACTTGTCCTTTCCTCATGGGATGAATCTTGCACAGGCTGCACCAGGCCAGGAAGTCCCCAACCAAGGTGAGGGGCTGACTGTGAGCGTCAAGGCTCTGGACGCACAGCCAGCGGGGTTCCCTCAGCTTTCCCAGGCAAGCCACCACAACCGGGGCCAGGCACATGCTTAGTCTAAGCTCACTGACTCCAATCCATGGAATGTCTTCTGTCAGCCTAGAACCTGGGGTCTGGAGATGCCCCAGTACACGGGGATCTGAAGACACACAGCTCCTTCTGAGCCGCATGTCTTCCACAAGCTTCCCTTCCGATACCCGCTAAGCCAGTCAAGCAGTGTTCTGGAGCAGAAAACCTGATCAGGGAACTGTGGCCTGGACCACCCTTGGGGTCACCCCTCTCCTCTCCATTGAGTTAACCTTTGAAAGGCTCTAGGGCAAAGGGAGTGCGATTCCTCGGGGTCCCCTGGCCGCATGCCCTGATCCAGTCCGTCTGTCCAGTTATCAAATCGGTACGTGCACACTGCCACCGATAAATATTCAACTCGCTCTGCATCTGCAGAGAAGTGTTTATTTTTATTTGAAAATCGACACTCTCGGGTGGCCATGGGGTCCACGCAGCCATACGCCGTGGTTTGGGATGCTTCAGGCCAAGGACCGATTGGATAAAGAACACAGTGTAGGCCGTAAGCACTCACCAAATGATATAAGTTAAATCTGGGGCGTTAACCTGCAGCCCTGGCAGCATGAGCAGGCATCTGCTGGCCCCATTTCTGAAGGCAGGACTGTGTGTAAACGCAGCATTATGAAGCCTCAAAATGAATCGGCACGTCCAGCTCTCCCTGGCGCTCCCCCCATCCCCACGCCTGTGCAGGCCGCGGAGAAGGGAGCTGGCGACAAGGCCAGCCTCCCCGGGATGGGGAAGAGGCAGAGGGGAGCCGGCCAGATTCTTTGCTGAGAGGGGGCTCTTTAGCTGATTTGGAGGGGGAACGGAGTTTGAGCAGGTCAGATGTGAAGCCTGGAGAGCTGACACAGCCAGCAAACCCTGCTTTATTCTGCCACCTAAAGGCCTGCACAGCCCACGACACATGGCCTTGGGTCCCTTTCTCTACCCAGTCTCCATGCATGGGTGGTGCTGACTGGAACAGGAAGAGCTGGGGTTGCACAGGCTCCCTCCCAGGCTGGTCCACAGAGATGGTTTACTGGTCACTGGTCCGCTAGGTCACCCGTGAGGACATTAGAGCCCAAGTCTGAGGGCTTTACATCTGATGTAGGAAGGCTAGAGGGGTGGGACAACCAGGCTGGTTGTCTGACAGAGTAGAGGATGCCAGGGTCTGGTTCTCCAGACCCACTCACCTCATCTCCAGTACACTTGTCACAATGCCACTGTCCACAGTGAACTGATCAGAACCACCCAGTCCGTGTGTCCATGTGATACTTTGTGTGTGTGTGTTACTCTGGTGGAAGAACCCACACTCATCTTGTTGTGGCTGTGCCTGCAGCCTGGAGCCCAATGCCTGCCCTGGACAGGTGCTGTGAGAGCCACTTCCAGAATGAAAACAGCAGGAGACAGCTGAAAGAGGCGGGACTATGAGAAGGAGCTAGGGAGTCCACCACTCAAGTCTTTCCACACTGCTTTACAAACAGACCGTCCAGGGGAAGCAGCTCTATTCTGGGTGGGAAACAGCAGGGGGTGAAGTCCCTTACTCGGCCACAAGATACTTCAAGCCTGTCCTGTTCCCCATAGAGACAGGTTACTTCCAGAGGTGGGGCTTCTTCCTTCCCCAAATGTGGCTAAATCCAGGGTGAAGTAGGAGCCTCTGTGTGTGTGTGTGTGGTGTGTGTGTGTGTGTGTGTGTGTGTGTGTGTGTGTGTGTATGGTGGTAGCCAGTCCTAGTGAGCCACGCAGGATCATGGGGGCAAGGGAGAGAGGACCATGTGTGCCTTCTTTCTGCTTGGCTCTGTGCTGGGGTGGGGGAACAGGGAAGGGAGACAAGAGGATAGGGAGAGGAGGACAGGGTGGGGGAAGGCTGTTGAGGTTAATTCCTCCCCTCCATAGCGTGCTGTGAGCCGTGGATGCTCGGTGCATGGCAAGCAGCTGAGGGGCCGGAGGAAGCGAGGAAAATAATTAAAAGGTGGAGAAAGAAGCGGGTGAGGAGGCGGAAGGGGCCGGGCTGCTGTGGTCTACGGACGTGCATCTGAGAGTGTGCTGAGGGAGCCATGGCAGTCTGGAGCCACCATGGAACTGGGGTGGGGACAGGAGCTGGGGGCCTTTGGGGGAGTCCGTGACCTAGGCTTGGGGCTTCTAGACGGCCAACTGAATGGGCAAGGAACACGTGCCTAAAGACCCCAGGAGCTTCAGGAAAGTGATCCCAGTAAAAAGAGGCTTCTGAGAACAGGGCAAAGAGCCAGGCTAAGGAATAGCCGAAGAGTTAGGAGCTAGAGCTTAGGAAGGACTTCCCAGTATCTGTGGACACTTCAAGAAATGTAATGTGGAGGCTTCAGAACAATGTCGTTGCCCGTTGCTACTGTCACCCCAGGTACAAAGGAGGGGCCCCCAGGTCTCTGAGACCTGCCATCCCCAGATATAACAATACTAGCTGGGGGTCAACACTGTCACTGCCTCTGGTTGACAGATGAGAAAACCAAGCGGCAAAGGTGGCAGACTCGGGTCTGAGGTGAGCCCTGCCCTGGGTGTTCAGGGACGGGGCTGAGGTGAGCCCCTGCCCTGGGTGTTCAGGGACGGGTCTGAGGTGAGCCCTGCCCTGGGTGTTCAGGGACAGGGCTGGCCAGAGACTGGCCCCAGGTGCCTGTGTAATGCGGGATCGTGGGAAGCCAACATCAAGGATGGCGGAGAGATAGCCAAAGAGAATTAAGGAGAAGAGAGAAGGTTGGGGGAGGGAGGAAAAATCAATGAAGTACCTTTCGTTCTAAGGAGATAAGAGACATATAAATACCCGCCATTATGAAGGTTCTTATCTGCTGGCCTGGTCTGTTGTGAGGCCAGTTTTTAAAAGAGGCCTTTGAAGGGACTTCCACATGAACCCTGCCTCCTGGGAGCCAAGGCCACGGTCAGCGTGGTCGGGGCCACTAGGGGCCAGGGAGGGAGGAGGAAATTGAGGCACCTAGGGACTCATCCCCAGCCCAGTACGCTGGGGGACGGAGCTGCACGCACTCCCCACTGTGTAGATAATAGAAACCACAAAATAGCAATTACTGTATCCGAAGCTGTGAATAAGGAGGCCAGCGCGGGCTTTTACACGCAGCCCTCCTCCCCTCCCCCACACGCTCACACTTCCCTAACAAACTCACACCTCACACCTCACTTTTCCAATTATCTCATTCACCCTGGGTTCACCAATCACGCCTCCCGCACCACGGCCCCGCCTACTCCGCCAGGCTGCCGCCACCAGGATTGGTGGCAGGTCGGTGGGTTTTCAATGACAACTGGAGTTTGCTGTGGGTGGCTCTGATTTCTTCAGGTGTGTGGGGTGGGGCAAGGCACCTATGGGCCAATCATATCCGGTGTGAGGCATGTCTGTATACACAGGCCAAGTTGTGTGTCCCCTCCCTATGGGTTCCCTCCCCGTACAGGGAGCATCCCCTAGCCCAGACTCAACTTACACAATCCTAGCCAAGAAGATGGGCTCAGGGGAAGGAAGGGAGAGGGAAGTCGAGAGGAGGGGGAAGGCGAGAGGAGAGGGCCCTGTACAGCTGAACTGAGTGCTCTGGAGTCTGGCCCTGGGCCGTGGGGTAGGTTGTGAGGTTAGCCTGTGTGCACCCCACCACACAGTGGATGCGGTGCACCCTGATTCCAACTATTCCTGGGGTTTAAGTCCTCACTGCTACTTGGAGCTCAGACTTCCCAAGAGTGGAGTCATGTGGGACATCCATTCTCAGGCCCTCTCCCCACCTGTGCTTAAGGTGTTGTGGAGAGTGGGCTGCCACCCGAGGGACCCAGAGAGCAGCACTGCGATATGAGGAAGAGGAAGGGCGGTTTGGGGACAGGGTAAACCGCAGGCATCTTCCTGCAGTGAAAAAGTCCTTCAAATGGACCCCCAGCTCGAACTACCATGCTATACACAGGCACACACACAACGTGGTGCTGTAAGTAGCAGCCAATCCATTCAGTCCTGTGTGCTTTGCAGCATGAGAGAAGGCCTGAACTATATGGACTCCCATGCCCCTTGAGAGCAAGGCACTGACTGCTGTCTCTGCCTAACGGAGGGAGGAGACCCAGGCTGGTCCTCCTAGGTGACAAGGAGCAGGCCCGGGTTCATGATGGGTGTCTGGTCCCCAGGCCTGGACTTGGCTAACAGTATCCACAGCTCTGTCTACTACCAAGTAGCCAGAAGCCGGTGGAGCCATGCCCTTCTGGGAGAAGTGGCTATTCTGTCTCATTCAACAAACACGGGCCGGGCGCTCAGGAGTCTGAGCTTTGCTACTTGCTCCATGATGGCGCTCTAAGGGAGGTGCAGAGTGACTCAAGGACGTGCAGACTGATACCATCACGGTGCATGTGAGGCCACCAGCTGCTCTGATTGCTTCCCTGTCCCTTAGAGTCTTCGTGTGGCTGAAAGTCTCACTGGGCAGCCAGAGGGTCAGGCCCCTGTCACTTAGCAGCCAGCCTGGACAAGGGTGGGCATCCGAACAGCCCACTTTTGCTGGGATGCAAGAAAACCAAGCCTCCGGGATGGTGTGTCCACTCTACCTTGTCTGACCTC